AGCATGACTTTGTCCTGTGAGAACCATCAATCCAGTGCCACAGGGACACCCTTTCGTGGAACATCTGAGGTGGCTGGAGCCTCATTCCCTCCCCGGGCGAGTCAGTTCAGGAGCAGGAGCAGTCGAGCTTTGCCCCTTTGCCTGATTCCAGGAGGCAAGCCGTGGCAGCACACACTATCCTGGAGCACACACGCACCGGAGCAAACACGCACGCATGCGTGCACGCTTCACAAAACAAACACTCAGGCTGGATGGAGAGGCTCCTTTGGGGAAATGAGTACAGTTTCAGTTTCCATGTGTGCAGCTTCCGTTCTGTAGTAAGAGATACTACAGGTTAGCGAGCGCAGTTGCCCTGGGAGAAGTAGGAGGCTGTGTGCCACTGGGGTCGTTAGAGACTAGCATGTGTTCATCCCCAAATCTTCCATCTCTTGAGTCCTCAGAGGTATCAACTCTGGGAGAGGCCACAGGGGGTGGGTAGGCAGGAGCTGTCATTCTGCTCGGCACTGTTCCCTTAGAAGACTAACGATGTGGCTCACACATCTCTGAAGAGTTAACAGGCAGGAAGGATGTGGTCAAGTGGTCTACTTGGCAAGGGCTCCAAGTTGACCCAGAGAAGGGAATAGGGTGCTGTGGGACTAAGGGCTCTCTTCTGCCCAGAGACCCCTCAATTCTGAGAGCTGACCACAAATCTAAGGACTTCCTTTTGTTAGTCTCTGCGACTAGGGTTTCTAGATGAGGCCAGCTCCCTGACCCTGTGGGAAGAAGCTAGCTACAGTTTCAGGTACAACTTCTCTCATCCTGTCCCTCTGGGTTAACAAGAGTTTAGTATATTCTAGGTTGGCCGTGTTCCCCTTTTTCTTCTTTGGTCAAATTCTGGATCCTGGATGTCTCCTCATGACCGGGGCTCACATGTTGGAAACCATAAACCCAGGCTCCCTTTGCTTCCTGCACCCAGCCTGAGGGTGCAAACCTTCCTCCCTCCAGCTTGAGCTCACTCCCAGAGGCACTCTGCTGCCATCTTGTGGTCCCCAAAAGCTGTACACCATGTATGTTGTGAGTAGGTAGGGGGTGGGTGAATACTTTAATAATGTACCTGTGAATTGATTGCTTAATCCATTAAAAATGAGGGGCTCCTGAACTCCTCCATAGGAAAATGATATTGCCTATGATTAATACATTGTGTATCCTAAATAAAGATCTCTTTGATAATTGGATCCTAGAGAATCCTTGTGAAACCTGAAGAAGGGTGGTATTTTACTGTAGGCAAATCTCACTGGCATCAAGAAAGTAAGGCAAAGAGTCTCAATCTTTCTCTTTCATTCCTTCCCTCTCTCCCATCTTCCTGTCCTTCCATAAATCATGACACAGAATCCCTAGGTTTCACACCTGCATGGTCACGGCTAGGGTGAATGAACACTTCTAAATTTTTACTAAGGAAAGTTGGAATGCTCTGAGGTAAATCTGATCTCTTTCTTTTAGGTTGATTTTGTGGAGAGACTGCTTGGAGGCAGACCAGCTACAGCTTAGCTGTGGGTATAGGAATGCTGTCCCCTCCCTGTCTTTGGTCTCCCTCAACTCCATGTAGATCAGCTGACATCACCCTCTAGGGGAACTGGGTTTTCTCATACCATCTTATTGTGCACCCATTCACTCACTCACTTGGTCATTCAAGTTATTCCTTTATTCTGTTAGCCTGCCCTCTATCTCAGTTGATCTGGTCCTTGCTGGAGAGAACTTCCTGGCCAAGGGCTGGGGTTAGATGTGGAAAGAGTAGAGCCTGAGGTTGTCCAAGGCTGTGTGACAAAGAGGGAGTGGGTGACGATTTTACTTACAAATAGTATATCCGGGAATCTATTGCTTTCCTGATCATTGACAACACGGAGGGAGGGGGCTGTGGGAGCATGGGGGTGGGGACAGGAGATTTCTGGAGAATGTGTCCTTCAGGTATTCTGCAAAGAGGCTATTTTGGGCTGTGTCTTAATTGCCCCACTCCCCCCTTCTCTTTGCCCCCAGCTATTGCTTGCTGTCATATCTAAAATTATTTCAGTCCTTATTTAGAGGTGTTTGCTATATTGGGTCTGTCTTCTTTTTCTAACCTGACATCTCAAAAAATATTCCTGTGCCCCCATTATGTTGTCTTGCTCTGACTCTAATTCTGGCAGAAATTACGTTGTTGGTGTCATCCCCCTGTAAGCTGTTTGAGACCCGCGCTTCTTCCAAGTTCCTCCTGTCTGGGAGTCCAATTATTAATGGGAAACCAGTTCTCCCTTTAACCTTTGTGTGTGTGCATGTGCGTGCGTGCGTGTGCCTGTGCGCCCATGTGTGTGTGTGTGTGTGTGTGTATGTGTGTGTGTGCACAAGGGCATGCACGTGTGTGAGTGTGTACATGCACACTGGGCATATGTGAAGGTCAGAGGCCAACTTGGCATAGCCAATTCCCCCTTTCCACTCTGGATTCTGGGGATTCACTCGGGTTGCCAGGTTCTGCAGTGAGAAGCACCTTCACCAGCTGAGCCATCTTGCCGGCCTGGAACCAGCTCTCTTGAAGCTGTGGTGTACTTGTGAGTGAGCCTCCCACACCGGCGGAGCAATTTGCCATTCAAGAGATAGGTCCAGTCGGCATAGGAGCATTCTTTGCCCTGTGACTCAATTAGGTAAGAACCGCTGGAGGCTCTAGGTTATTCTCAAGCTAATTATGGGCAGCCATTCTCACTTGCTAGATATGACTGAGAATGCATAATGACCACAGGCAGCCCCTGCACCAACTCTGAGGCCACTTTTGCATCATCAGGATGAAGTCAGTACTGTTGGAAGCAGCGATAAGGGAATCTGGTCCCTGCTGACACTAATGAGTTCTCTGGACCAATCTCAGAGCTGCCTTAGCTCTGGATTCCACATTACGGAGGCCAATGAGTTAGGTTGATTCTCTGTTACGCAGTCCATGGCAACTAGTGGTCGGTAGCCAGTCCTTGGAGGAAGAACGTGATGGAGAAACCGTAGGCAATGCAAATGTGTAGGACTCGGGAATGGCGGTGTGAGGTATGAGGGAGGAAAATCAAGCTAGTCTCACAGCATTTTGTTGTCACAGGATTTTGCAGCTGGGGCTGACACCTCTGCTCCCCTTCTCCCCCTCCCCAGACTGTGTGGATTCACAAGGAGGTTTTGTGTTATCAGTGCTCAGGGAAGGAGACCTCTGGTTGAGAGAGGAGCAGACATAGGCAGGGAAAGGAAGAGTGGGCATGGTGCCAGGGCAGCTCCTTGGTTTGCGCTGGGGACCTGGATGCAGGGAGGTGAAGGCGAGGTCAAGCAGAACTAGAACAGAGGGCGTGAGAAGCTCACGGTCAGCAGGATCCAGAGTGGGGTCAAGGGAGAAGGGAATGTCTCCTCCCTACCTAATGGAACCCACACTGGAACCCTGGACTGGCATGGCATTCCCACAGCGGGCACCTTTGGCAGGAGCAATGCCAGGACACCTTTGGCAGTAGCAATGCCATGGGTACATGGAACCGGGTCACTGGCTGCAGTGGTGTCTGTGAGTGACCGACAGACTTCAGGCAGCTGGGAAGGGAAATGGAAACACTGGTTCCTGTTGAGGTGGCAAGGGGGTTGAAGGCCACCTGAAGGGAACAGAGGTGGCCATGGCTTATTTTGGTTGCGAAGGATCAAGACCAAGCAATGTCTGTGTCCCACAGGTTTGAGTCATCTCCATTTTGAGGAAAGAGCTCTTTGGGAACATGCTGCATTTGAGGTGGCAGTAATGAGTGGGTTGTGGCTCCTCAGTCTGGACTTGAGTGCCATCACCGAAAGGCTATAAAAGAAAATGATTAGGGTATAGATGAGAACGTTTCTCCTTTCAAATACGCAGCTAACTCAGGATAAGAACACTAGATTATCCCATTGACATCTGTCAGGATTCAGAAGAATTTGGGGATCCCCATGAAGAATCCAGAAGCCACTTAAGAGTTTCAAAGGGAGATTTGGGCCAGACACATGGCTTTGATTATTACCCGTTGAAAACTTACAGAGATGGATAAAATTACCAGTGTGTAGAAAAAGGTTGTGTGTGTGTGCGTGCGTGCGTGTGCGTGCGTGCGTGTGCGTGTGCGTGTGTGCGTGCGTGTGTGCGTGTGTGCGTGCGTGCGTGTGTGTGTGCGCGTGCGCGTGCGTGCGTGCATGTGTGCGTGCGTGTGTGTGCGTGCGTGTGTGCGTGCGTGTGTGCGTGCGTGTGTGCGTGCGTGTGTGCGTGTGTGTGTGTGTGCGTGTGCGTGCGTGCGTGTGTGTGTGTGCGTGTGTGTGTGTGCGTGTGCGTGTGTGCTCCAATAGTTAAAGAGCAAGCAGATGACAACTGTTATTTGTCTGACAAAGGCTTAGAAGGCACAGTGGCAGAGGAAGATCTGTTTGTGGTGGCAGGCATGGGGATACCACGTCAAGAAGGAGACAGTGACAGAAAGTAATGTAAGGATTTCAATAGCAAGAGACGTGGGTGCCTGTGTTAGTTACTTATTGTGTCGTTGAGACACAATATTTGACAAAAGGCAGCTTTAAGAGAAGAGGCCTTGTTTTGGCTCACTAGCCATCATGGTGAGAAGCTCTGGCAGTGGGAGTCGGGACATCCGGTCACATGTGTCTGCCGTCAGGAACAGAGCCAGGGATGCTGGTACTCAGCTGGCTTCCGCCTTTCCCCTTCTTATTTGGTTTAGAACTCCAGCCCATGCGGTGGGGGCGGGGTGTCACTCACATCAAGGGTAGATCTTACCTCTTCTGCTATCTTCTCTGGGAACATCCTCACAGATACTCCCAGAGATGTGTTTCTTGGGTGAGTTTACATCCAATCAAGCTGACATCAAGACTAGGCACCACACCCTGGAGAGTAGTGTGGTGTGGCACGGGAGGGGTTGCAGCCGGTCTGCAGTAGGCTGAGGAGTGCAGCACGCGTCACTGAAGCGTGCAAGTTGTGATGGCAAACAGAAGGGAAGAGTGATGGGGGGGGCCACAGGAGTCAGGGGTGTAGAGCGGAGGTAGGGAGAGAGGAGGGCAGAACACTGGCGAGATGGGGCGGCCAGCTGACGGGGTGAGGTTTCTGAGAAGGAGGAAGGGGTGATGGGATCTGCACTCAGAAGATGAGTCCAGGCCTGGGAGGGGAGAAAGAAGAACCTGGGGATGGAGTGTGTTCCATTTGGGGCTGCTGGACTTTCGTGGGGCTGCGGGAGAGACGGTCATCTGCTGAGGGCAGGAAAGGGGCGGGGAAATAAAGGAGGCTGTGAGAAACAGCCACAGAGGACTGCCAATCAGAGCTGAGTCAGGTTGAGGTTCCATGGAGACCTCCAGTCTGAGGCAGTGCCAGCAGCCTGCTTTTCTTCTCTGAGCCCCAAGCTGCCTGACAGTAGGGCTGAATCTCATGGCAACAGACGATTTGGGCAGTGGCAGGCAAGCGTCTTTGGACAAAGGCTAGGTGATGACTGTTTTCATGATTGGAATGATTGGATATAGCGATGTCTAGGATATTCTTCAGTAAAACACACCTCTGGGTGTGCCTCTGAGGAGAAATCTCTGGGTGTGCCTCTGAGGAGAAATCTCTGGGTGTGCCTCTGAGGGTGTTTCTAGGCCTTTCTGGAGTTTTGTTACGGTAATGAAAAGGAAACACAGACTTCTCAGCAAGTCGAGGCTGGTTCCTGTGCTTGTGGCTTGTACTGAGTTACGACAATGGCCCATTTTACCTCACAGGACTCTGTGCACAAACAGGATCGCACACTTACGATCTCTCAAGCCACATCCGACCTCACGCCCTTCGCAACTCAAGCATGGTGAATAGCGAGTATTGGAGCAGACATGGGGCAAAGGAACCTTCACGCACCGTTGGCGGGAGTGTGGAACGGCACAGCTGCTGTGAACAATTGACTCTGTTTGTAGTGCTCTGAGGACTTACAGTGTGGTTGAAAAAGTGCACTTGTGGGTATGTGTATACCTCGGCAACCGGAAGGCGGGCGGGGTCTCAGGCACATCTGTCTACAGCAGCACTGTCCACTACAGGTGAAATGCAGACACCGCCCGATGTCCACGAGAGATGAGCAAAACATGCAGAATATGTAGTAATGGGATATTATTTGGGTTAAAAGAAAGGAAATGCTGGCCCCCACACATGGGTGAACTCTGAGGACAGCATTCTTATTGAAATATGCCATTGATAAAAACACAAATATAGTATGTTTTCACTGACACAAGATGCCTGGAATGGTCCTATTTAAGGAGGAAATAACATGGTGACTGCCAAAGGCTGGAGGAAGGGGGAGGGTTCACTGTATAGAGTCACTATTGGAGGAAGGGGGAGGGTTCACTGTGTATAGAGTCACTATTGGAGGGAGGGGGAAGGTTCACTGTATAGAGTCACTATTGGAGGAAGGGGGAGGGTTCACTGTATAGAGTCACTATTGGAGGAAGGGGGAGGGTTCACTGTATAGAGTCACTATTGGAGGAAGGGGGAGGGTTCACTGTGTATAGAGTCACTATTGGAGGAAGGGGGAGGGTTCACTGTATAGAGTCACTATTGGAGGAAGGGGGAGGGTTCACTGTGTATAGAGTCACTATTGGAGGAAGGGGGAGGGTTCACTGTATAGAGTCACTATTGGAAGCGCTCTGGGGACAGATGGCAGTGATAGCTGTGCAAGCAGGGATAGAGCTGCTCCCCTCTGCGACAGTGTGACCTGGCCATGCTCTTCATGCTCTAACATCAGGCTTTTAGAATTCACTCTCTAAGGTCTCCAGCCCTCACAGTCCCAGAGTATGGGACACTGTAGAGCATCCACTGCCGCCACACTCCAGAGACACACATGTAGGGCAGACGAGTCACTGCAGCTTTGCATTAGGATTCCTTAGGTCCCTTGGTTTCCTACAGAAAAGAACCATTCTCCTCTATATTGCCTCAGTGAGCAGGAAGACATCTTACAGTCAGAAGTGACTCTGAGCACTGCAAACTTGGACTTTACACTTGGATTGTGTCGCTTCAGAATGAACCAGGTTCATAATGGCGGGAAAGCCCTGGGAAATGAGCAAGACCCAAGAACAGCCTCGCTCCTTCTCTCGTGCTCTTGGGGATCCTTTACCCCCCAACCCCCCAACCCCCCCTGCTTCTGTTCCATACTGGGCTCCTCCTTCCCAGAATGCAGTCTGGCTGTCACAGGGGTCCCACTGAGGGCTCTCAGCAAATCCCTCCCCCTTTCTATTTTCACGACAAGAGCAGCATGGGGGTGGGGGTGGGGAACACACCCGAAGAGCCAAATCAAATCAAATGCCTCTGCCTTGTGAAGAGACCTAGCAGCCGACAGCCAACTCAGAACTAAATGGGCAACCTGGGGAGTGGGGTAAAAGCATCAGGGCAGGCCTGGAAACGAGGCACACCCTGTGGTGTGGTACACCTACATGCGGCACACCCACTCACTATGCAGCAACAGGACAGCTGTGGATTCTGAACCACAGCTCTTAAAGGTTTTCCTAGCAATTTCCGTGCCATTTAACTGTGAACTTAAACTGGTAGAACGGCCCAGGACAGAAGAGCCTGCCAGCATACGCTCCCGGCTATTTCCGGAGGTTGCACTACCGCATTTGACCACCAGAGAGCAGTAACACAGTGACTCTCTGGGTGCTGGGGAAAGAACCTCTCTGGCTGGGGGACTGGAGTCCACAGGACTGAACCTCACAGAGGGCAGGAGCAGTGTTATGAGCTCAGCTTTGTGTTCCTGCTGAGCACCGATGGGAGCATATGGCCCCGGTTCTGGGCCCTTCGGGACTTAGCTCAGGTTTTAAGCCACAGGGGCCCAGGGATTTTGGACGCTCAGAATCCTTCCTTCCTTTCCTTCCTTTCCTTCCTTCCTTTCCTTCCTTTCCTTCCTTTCCTTCCTTCCTTCCTTTCCTTCCTTCCTTCCTTCCTTCCTTCCTTCCTTCCTTCCTCCCTCCCTCCCTCCCTCCCTCTCTCCCTCCCTCCCTGTCATGCATGGTGTATGCATGTTTATGTGAGGGTACATGTACCTGTGTGTACACGTGGAGGTCACAGCAGTATGTCAGGTACCTTCTGTGGGTCTCTTTGCCTTTTTGCCTTAAGACAGAGTCTCTCGCTAACCAGAAGCTCACCGTTTTGGCTGAGCTGCCTGCAGTGAGCTCTCAGGGTCTGCTTTCTCTACCCCCCTGAGGTTGCGGGCACAGCTAGCCATGTAGGGCCACTTGCTGGGATTCAAGCTCACATCCCCACGCTTGCAGAACATGCACTCTCTTCCAGGACAGCATCTCCCCGGTTCCTTCAGAGAGTTTTCTATTGATTTGCCTGTCATTTTCTTCCAGGGTCCTGCTAGCTGTGTTTACAATACTTGGAAAAATTCTATTTTCAGAGAAAGCCGCTGGGGTGTCGTTTTTGCAGAGGCAGGTGTCCAGCTTCCCAGTTGTTTGGCAATTTATCTCAGGAAGGGGGTGCCCCTTCAGGAACCAAACACAGGGAATCTGAGCTCTGCAAATTTAGCTTAGCTACGGCTTTCCCTTTGCTTCTAAAATACACGCAACCCTTCCCTTTTGTGTTTAGAGCAGCCCTGCTTTCTAAAATGGTTACAGGCACCTGGGAGCATTGCCCAGAACTGGCTCTTTGGTGCTGGCCAGTGTTTACAATTCTGTGCCTAAAAGCCACAGGAAAGAACTGGAGAAAGCTTAGGTGAGAGCCAGCAGCCTAAGCTACTGTGCCATCCAAGGTTGTATTTCTCCTTTCTGTGGCTTTCAACATTGCAACCCCCACCACTGAAAAACAGGAGAACAAATTCTTATCTCCCTTGCCTCTAACCAGATCAGGCTAATGAGACATGGGAAAGAGACCTGCTGATCTGATTGACAAGTAATGCAATGTAGGAGGAGTTCAAGTAAGAACAACCCCTGTGGGCTCCCACTGGACAGGAAGGGAGGGAGTGTCACTGTGTGCAGAGCAAAGAACAGTCCGTCCGAGTTCACCCCATGTGGGCTCTGTGACCTTGAGCACACTCCTAACCCCGTGAGGAGTACTGAGTGAGCAGGAAAGAATATTAAGGGTCACTTCAGTCTGAAGACAAATCCTATTATTACCTAAGTTCCAAGCAAACACCACAAAGGACATTAAGAGGTTCTCCAGCAGTGACAGGCATTTTTAGTACCCAAGGTCTTTCTCGGAGGGAATCATGTCTGAGTTGAAAAAGAGCCCGAGTAACCTAATGTCAATTTCTGGCCTCTTCTGCTCAGCATCTCTTACCTCCGCTGCTGCATCTTGGGAGGTACCCATGGAAACATGGGAAGTGATGCTGTGTCAGAACCTACCCTTCTCTTTGGTACTCTTCGTCCAAATTTGACAGGAGCTGTGAGCCCCCTGTGGAAAGGTCTACAGCAGCCAGGGGCAGGTCCCGATAGGCAAAGTTTACCAGCTGCACAGGAGCAATGCTCTTGGTTTCTTCATCTACTTGTTGGGAGATAATCTCAACTTCAGAAATTCCTCCTTCAATGGCAGGCCTGAGTGGAGAGGAGGAGCAACAGGTAAGGGTTAGCTAATGAGAACAATATGCCGTCTTCCCTGTGTCAAGGAGTGGGCTGAGGGTATAGGAGGAAGCTGTGCTGTGCTGTGCTGAGGGCCAGGGAAGCACAAGGCTGTTATTCTTCCACACTGGCCAGTCAGGGACTGGTCCAAGGGCCTAGTCGGTTGCCTTTTCCTCACCAGCTAGGGTGAATGGGAGGACCTGAACATGTGGGATTTGGGGGGGCAAGTTATTTATGAAGGGGAGGTAAGGACTCTCAGTTAACCAGAGAAACACGCATGCACACACGCACACATGCACACACACACACACACACACACACACACACACACACAGAGCTGCAGCTCTTAGAAGTCTTTGACACTGCACTTTCTATTGCAGAGATATACTGAGAATTATTGCATGTGGTTCTTTGCAATGGTACCATTGTCTGTTGCAATAATAAAAGGTACTCTTGCTCTCAACGGGATAGCTCCAGAAGCTTCTTGGAGACTTGGGGGCCTTGATGTGGTGAGGAGGAGAGCCAAGGACAGCTAAGATTCTGCTCCTTTCCTATTCAAAGGGGTCTCACCATACCTCCGTTCTCAAGATTGGGGAGTGGAATATTGGGGACCACCTGAGAAAACAGAGGAGTCTGGGTCAGTCTATGTCTTAGGCAGGCTTAGTTTGGGCACTGAAACCAACCCACAGTTTCACTGGCAAATAGTATGCCTCAGTCAGGGGCAGGGACACCTCTCAACCCACCAGTTTTGTCAATTCGAGGAGGCATTTTTAATACCACTGGTACCTAAGTAGGAATGGAGACACAAACATCCTGCAAGATGTTAATAGCTGTGTAGTGAGCCAAACATCTCCTGTTGGGAGATGCAGGGTTGGAGACTTTGGCTGTCCCTTCCTGGGCATCTTTGGTCCCTCCTACCCATCCTTGACCCTGTCACATTCTGTAGAATCTGAGAGGCTGAGTCTTGTGTGTCTGATCAAACAGCAAAGTTAGGAAGGGAAAGTAGTATGCACGAAAAAGTGAAAACATTTGGGGGACACAGAGGATCTGTGCATGGGGAATGAGAAGCCAGTGACATTCCTGAGGCAGCTGGTCTCCCACAGACTGTTCATGGGCTCTGGTACCACTTTCGGTGGCCTCAGTTTCTCTGACTGAAAAAGGCTTCCTGGGGGCTCTCGTCATTTGCTGTGGATCTGAAAAGCATGGAGCGTCTAAGTGACAAGTCCCACTTGCTTGTTCTATTTGCTCTCTGTGGGAAAACTCTGAATTTGAAATGTTTCCTACAGTGTGAAACCCAACAACAAGCACTACACAGTAGCAGTTACCTGGGGTGCTCACAGCTGAATCTGCCTACTGCCTTCGCTTGGATTATTGGAGGGTTATAGGTAGGCTGCCTGGAACACCCACATTCACCAGGTAATCCCCGTGCCCAGATTTGCTTTCGTAGGTTCCCCTTAAGTCTTTGGTTTTCCTTCCTTGCCAAGCACAGACAATATTACTCATCACAGTGTGACATTTACAAAACGACTCAAGAGCTTCAGACAGAACAGCCATGGGATGTGCAGTTCTGTTTCTCAACAATTGATCTAAAAGTGTGGGTGTTTCTGGGGGAATACCAGTTACCTTAGATATTTCCTAAAAAGTACATGCTGGGTTAGTTTGTTCTCTTAGGGACTATTCAAGGAAGCAGGGTTTTTGAATTGAACAAACAGAATTTTCTAACCAATGTGATCAAAGAAGGCTGGAGTTATGTTTCTGAAACTCACAGGGTATGATTCTGACACATGTGGGAGAAATTACATCTGCCTTGGCACGTCCCTGCCCTCCGGTCCACTTTGACAGTGGTTGTAATGGTCCAGCTCCATCTCTGGCCATGGTCACCTCAGCAGAGACTCAAAGGTTCCTTTGGTGAAAATGAAGCTCCCATAGCTCACAGCCTAATCATTGAACCTGCACATTGGTCTTAATAGGAGAGCACTGTGTTGGATGAAGTGCATTAGTGGCTCTATTCAGTCTTCCTTGAAAGGTATACACCACCCTTATTTCTCCCTTTAATTCTCCCACCAAAGAAGTGTGAGTGTGTGTGTGTGTGTGTGTGTGTGTGTGTGTGTGTGTGTGTGTGTGATTTTACAAACCCTTGACTGTGTATTCAGCCATGTGACTTGTTTTGGTCAATGTAGACATGTTACCAGCAGAAGAATGAGAGGTACTTGTGACTCTTCGTCTGGCTGTTACTCCAGCAATATCCCCAGTAGAGAGTGATCAGTCTAGACTGTTGGATGAACAGAGACACACTGACCAGAGTCTATTCTCACCTGGATTGACTGGCAGCTCTACGTCAAAGCCCACAGTGAAGGGCGACCCCCAGGCAAGATCAGCAGATCCATCCGGCTGATCACCCAGCCATGTGATCTTGCATTGCTCCAAGTTGAGGAGAGCTGTCAAGGATCACTACAGTGGCACAGAGAATGCACTCATGTGTCGTCATACTTCTGATGGCTGAGGAGCCAGGCACACAGCTAAAGGGGCTGGGGCAGCATAGTGTAATAGAGGGAGTGTTATTTTTATCTTGGTATTTACCAGTGAGTTGCCAAACACAAAATAAATTGCCACCTGATGACTTACCACACTGACACTAGGTAAGATTAAATGGTTCATTCATATGGCATCTTGGGTTTCAGGAACTGAAAGCAAGTCTTTAAAAGGCCTTTGCCAGGTGTCATAAACCCTGCTTTTAGAAACCCTCTTATGATTTTTAAATTTCCTTGAAATTCTCATTTTATTATCACCAGTAGCATTTCCCAGTCTTATTCTTGGATTTGCTTCAGTTGTCTGGAGTAACAGAGCTTCATCTTATGAGAGACTTGCATCAGCAGTCAGGACTCAGAGAGCCGGCTCTGATGGTACTTACTGTGGATTGGTCATGTTGAAAGATGCAACCAAAGCCAAGGGCTTTCTTGATGTCTAGTGGGGTTCAGCTGTCCTTAAGCCTGATCTTAGCATTTCCAAGTGGAGCTTTTATAAGATTCATGAAAATAGAGTGCCCTGAAATGATAAATGGGCATTTATTACCTTCAGATGCCAAACTGAATTCCTCCTAATCTCATCTAAAACTGGAGTGCTTAGCACTTTTCCCATATAGCACTTTTCTCTATGGCACTGCTGAATGGATCATTCCAGCAATGCCATGGTGTAGTAATGACAGGTGACATGCTTCTCTCCAACTCTCCAGGCTTCCTCACTTACCCATGTTATTCCCACAAAACTGCTGTACCCCCAAATCCCACCACGAACGGTACTTTGTCTCTCTTTTCTTTTCAATTGAGAGAGCCAGCAGACAGACAGCAGCTAAGGGAACTAGCCCTATGGCCAGTATGCTGAGGGTCATAGCCGCCCTCTGCTCTGTTTCCCCATCTACAAATGAGGGTAACACTGGAACTACCTAAATTACGGGATGCAAGGGAGATGCTTGGGACAGTAGCAAACTGTGTAAGTGTTTAGAAACTTTTTAAAAATTAAGATGGTACAAGCTGGCCGGGCGGTGGTGGCACACACCTTTAATCCCAGCACTCAGGAGGTATAGGCAGGAGAATCTCTGTGAAGTTGAGGCCAGCCTGGTCTACAGAGCTACACAGAAACTCTGTCTTTAAAAACAAACAAACAAACAAAATGTACAAGTTATTGAACCTGATCATATCCCGAAAACTATTTATAGACCAAATATAAAGCTGTCCTCCCAAATGCAGCTTAGGTACATAGTGGAAGCTTTTCTACCAACCAATGTGACAAAGCCACAGGTAACTCCTGTGCGAGCTGGAACTGCCTGAAGGGAGGGCACAGGCAGACAGACCCTGCTTGGGATGTTTCCAGACAAGCCACTGTGGAGGTGTTCAAAGGGGTAAACGTTCAGGAGGCGGCACCACACACAAGCTGCTGTTCCTACGAGAATTCCTCATGGGATAAAAACCTCATTCTCCTGGCCTGAAACTCTGTTCAAAGAGAGAAGGCCCAGCTGGAGACACAAAGGGAAATCCACAGGGAATGAAAATGACTCTCAGGATGGGAAACACCAGGAACAGATGGCCAAGGAGGAGCTCACGCTGCAAGAGGAACCCTGGGAGGGGCTGGACTTAGCACATCCGGAAAAGAAATGGGAGCTCTCTATAACTACATGGAGCTCAAACCCTGTCATTTGACACCAGAAGTCAGTAGGGACAAAGGGTCAGAGGCAATTTGGGCAGAGTTTGGAAGATGTCTTGTGGACACACCTCACTAAGGTAAGGGTTTACCTTGCCTCAGTGGAGCTCAGCAAAGAGGTCTAACTGTTGTTGGACTCCCTTTAACAATATTTGGGGTTATATGTTGTATAGTAGACATACAGTATTACAATACATACATCTATTATACAGTAGACATAAAATTCACCACCCCACCATGGAAAGTTAATCAATTTCAACTTTTCCCTCTCTTTGTAAACACTCTCACAATGTCTTCCTGGTATTGAGAGGATTGTCTATCTTCAACTGCTAACGGAGCCAGAGTGGAGGTACTCACATCTGAGAGCTAGGTGAGCAATGCTGCTTTCCCAATGGGGTCTCTGCAACCCACCATTCATAAATGAGCACCTGAAATGCCATGCAAGGTAATAGCCCTGTGAGGACACCATAGGCAGCCCCTTCTGTTCACATGCCTCCCAGGCCGGCTGGGCTGGCAACTTAGAATATAGAAAACTCAAAGCTTTTTACACACCTTGATAAAGAAGAGTAAAAAACTGAGGATTCTATAATTAGAAATAACAAAACAATACAAACTATTAGAACAATACATTATGACAAATGTGAAACAGACAAAAGGGAAGAAATTCAAATTGTAAAGAACCTTAATTTCACTTTTAGGAAGGAAAATTTCTAATATATACAACATTGTAGAGAATTGTGTAATGGATGTTTAGTTCCAACCTCAATACTTAATAGTTAACAACAGTCTTGTTTCTTCTATATACCTGTCGACATACCAGAGGGAGAGAACTGGGAATGGTGTGAGCTTTTGAAACCCCAAGCCTGCCCCCAGTGACACACCTCCTCTAACAAGGCCACACCTCCTAATCCTTCCCAAACAGTTCCACTAACTGGGAACAAAGCATTCAAACATATGAGCCTATGGGGGCCATTCTCACTCAAACCAGCACAATTATATCCTTCTACACCTCTGCCCTTCACTTCTCTTTGTGTCTTATCTCACTCACTCACTCTATCATCTATCTATCTATCTATGGAAAAGACTCTCATAGCAACTCTCTTAGTTATCTGGTTCTTACAATCTTTCTACCCCCTTCCAGAATGTTTCCCGAGTCTTAAATGTAGGGTTGTGTTGTATGTGTATCAACTCCATAGCCGGATAAGTATTTAACTTACAGTTAGAGATGGCATTGGTTTAGGAAACTAAAGAAGTAGGTTTCATCAGTCACTGGTATCTGGCCAAATTTATAGTCCCGGGCATGAATTCCCCATTGTTCATCAGACCTTAAGTCTAATTAGTTGTCTCTTGGTTACCTCTGGGTTTTAATGCCACTACTGTGCCTTTCAAACTATCTTGCCGTCCTGGTTACTGTAATGGTTCTCTTGTGTTACAGCTGGGTAGAACTATTGATTGCTTTTCTCTGCTGGCAGCTAGCTTGGCTCCTTCTGAAACTGTAAGAGCTCGTCCTCAGTGAGGAGGTTTCAAAGTCAGACCCAGATCGATTCCTCTAAACCCAGTGTCCAAAGTGTGTGGTGTCTTCAGAAACAGGGTCTTCTTTTTCTGAAAGGCACCAGGACAACAGCATAGCCTATATCGCCTTGCTCCCCTGAGTAACAACTCGGTTTTCCCACGCCTGCCATTGGCTGTTTGTTAAATAGTCTTTGAGTTTGTTTTTGAAGAGGACTGTCACCCCCAATTGGTGTAGTCTCTCTCTGTCTCTGTCTGTATCCATAAAGGAATATAATCCCTATGGCTTTCTCAAACGTTTTTGATGATACTTACCCTTCTCCTTCTCCTTCTCCTTCTCCCTCTGTGTTGCTGTTCCTTCTCCCTTCCCAAGTAAGTCTACTGCCCCCTCCTTGCTTCTCAGTTCAGCCATTAATAACTAAGGCTCACAACCAAAAAGGCATACCACAAAAGTATCATCAATACCAGTCAGTATTTTCTTAACAGCATCATACATTTCCTTGCCTGGCCTGTAGATCTTTGGTTGTGAGCCTAGCCTTTAATGGCTGAGCCTCTCCAGCCCTGTCCTGTAGTTTTTTAAAGGCCTTTTCAACAAGGAGCTGTGCTAGTTGGTTTTGTCAACTTGATTCAAGCTGTGGTCATCTGGGAAAAGGGGACCTTAGCTGAGAAAATGGCTTAATCAGATTGGCCTACAGGCAAGTCTGTGAGGCATTTTCTTGATTGGTTGATGTGGGAGGGCCCAGCCTCCTGTGGGTAACACCACTCTGGGCCGGTGGGCCTGGGTTAGATAAGAGGGCAACCTGAAGGAACTACTGAAAACAAGTTGGTAAACTGTTCCTCCAGGGTCTCTGCTGCAGCCCCTGCCTGGAATCCCTGCCTTGTGTCCCTGTCCAGGTTTCCCTTGCTGATGAACTATAACCCACAAGGTGAAGTGAACTCTTTCCTCCCCAAGTTGCTTTTAGTCCTGGTCTCCATCATGGTGACAGAAAGCAAACTAGAATAGCAGACAAACCAGGCCCACCCTTCACGAGTCTCACTTTAGCTCAGGGTCCTCCGTAATCTTCCTCACCTTGTGCACAATATTGGTAGAAACTGCTCATTTGTCCCATAATCTTGGATTGTGGTGATTATATCCCTTCAGTAGATACAATTAATATGTTCCTCTGCTTCATGCATTTCCTGTGAATTTTAATTACTCTGTAGACTTTAACTAGATTCATGTTCTTTTCTTTTTTCTTTTACAAGACTTGATGGGTCATGTCATAACTCTTAATAGGAGATAAATGTGTCCATCTTTTTATGACATTAACAGCCATTGGCAATTTACTAGATCCATTCATTCATTCATAAGGCTTATAAAATGGTGAGTTGGATTTTAATATTGTTTATCAATCAGCTACTATGAATACAAACTTTCCCTCATCAGTGGTTTGATCAGACCAAGATAGGGTTCATATATAGAGAAAAAAGATACATTTTGCTTCTTGTTTTCAGAGCAATAACTTGGTCTTTCATCAGCTTCCAGAATGATGGATGAGGTGTTTGCTGTGTTTAGTAGCCTCAAGGGACCGTTAGCTTATGCTGCAGGGGCTGGGTGGAAAGCTGAGGCCTTACAGGTGGTAGCACTTGCCTGGAGGGGCGATGGTGCTGTGGTTCTCAGGGATGCCTGCCTCCTAACACACCAGAGATGGTAAGGTCAGGAAAAGCATGGAGTCATACTAGATGGACAGTAACTAGCCACTGCGGCTGGAACGTCTGGTCCTTGGCAAGCAGCACATTTTAGAAGACAAACTGCCTTAAGATCATGGGAACACTCAGCCTGGCTGTTACTTAAAAATAATATTTTCCAAACAAAACCACCCTCAGAGCACAAGCCTAGCACGAAGCAGGTGTAGTCTGGCACTCTATAAATGAACATCTGAAGTGCAAATCTGCTGCCTCCTAAACCTGGTAAAAGGAGAGGAGAAAACCTGTTTTGGATTTACTGTGTCTGGCTCCAGTGGGTGCAGGCTGCTTTTTAGGCTTCAGTAACATTCTAGGCTCTCCTACCTGTTGGTTGTGTGCTACTTACCGATACCATGTTTGGTGGTTGCAGCAACTCTGCCATCCTTGGGATTTGGGGTTTAAAAGGGCTTCTAAGACCAATTAGTTTCTTACCCTACCAAATGAAAGAAAGCTTTAATTCAGCTCACCTGTCCTCAGAGGCCCCCAGGTTCATTCTTCATCCTTACACCAAATGACATCCCTATTTCACTGGTTCCCTTGTCTAGTTTAACTCTGACCTGTTGGGAAATTTAAATTCATAGGCTTCTCTGTCAGTTGGAACTCGAGGGTGGAAG